ATAAAAATTATACTACCTTATACAGAGTGCCTAAAAATGTATTTTAAATAATTACTAGCTTTAAACGGCAATAACTTATTTAATTTAAATGGAACGCCCTGTATATTTTAGAAGAATCAGATGCATAATTTAATTGTCTATCAAATTGAATCAGATGCATAATTTAATTGTCTACCACTTTTTACCTATCCCTTCAAGTTTTCGTAGAAAATGCATTTTCTTATAATTTAGATCTCATTTATCAATATACCCATGGAATATTGACATTTTAGATTGTTTTTAAAGCAACAAATGTACAACAAAATGTACAAGCTAGTAATATTATCGTTTTTAGCAAAATGATAATATTACTAGCCCATTTGTATGCAAAAAGAAAACTATTTAAATCTTCATAAAAGAGTATACCATTAATTAAATATACCACCATTATTTCCGCTCAAATACTAATTAATTACATACTTAATTATATTCATGAATAAATTATTCTATATAAATGTGGATTTGAATCAGAAATCAATATAATAATAAGTTATAAAAATGAATGTCTTTGTTGTTATATATAAGCATTTGTCAAAAAATGAAATATAATTTTTAAGGTGTTACTTTTTACCACACTGTCTAATACACATAAAAAATTCAGTTTTTTAGTTTTTGGAGCAATTATTATTAATCAACGCAAACAGTCAATTAATGTAATTTGAATACTGGAATCATATTAATTGGTCCTCTTTAACAAATATTTAAACAGTTTTTTTTCTATTTTTTAATGAAATAAACAAACTATATCGACAATATATGTATCTGTACTCTTTAAAAATTTGGTACATCTTTAAAAATAATCTAAAATGTCAGTATTCCATGGAGTTATATAAATAAATGAATTAAAATACATGAAAATGCATTTTCTACTGAAACTTTAAAGCTATAGGTAAAAATGGTATAATACAATTTGATAGACAATTAAATTGTGCATCTGATTCTCATAAAATATACAGGGTGTTCCATTTTAAATTTAACAAGTTATTACCGTTTAAAGCTAGTAATTATGTAAAATAAAATTTTAGACACTCTGTATAAGCTAGTATAATTTTTATTATTGGGTAACACAATAACTGATCAATAAATAAACTTGAGTAATATTTAGTATTAAAACTTTTGACCTGCTGGAAAATGACAGCCTTGAAAATTTTGACAGCAATTTCACAAAAGTGAAAATATTTCAAAAACAACAGGTTTAAGTGTAATAAACCTTTATCAAGTTTACCTATTTTGTCGTAGAAACTAAAAAATGTAATAATCTACAGGGTATTCATTAAAAAATACAACTTTGATATTTTTATTTATTTGGGACACTCTGTATCTTGTAAAATATTTTTTAAACTGTAACTCTAATAGTCCTTCAACGAACCCAAAACTTACAATTTGTAAAAATCTAATCGTTTAGCTACAATACTCCGTGTCGTATGTGGTGAACAACCCTGTATATATATATATATATATATATATATATATATATATATATATATATATATATATATATATATATATATATATATATATATATATATATATATACTATATTGACTCCATTAGCATTGTATAGGAATTACTGGCATTGTTGGCATTAGTATGGAAATTACTGAAATTAATTGGCAGTAGTTGGCATTGTTAGGCAATAGATGGCATTATTTGGCAATAGATGGCATCATTTGGCAATAGATGGCATTATTTGGCAATAGATGGCATTATTTGACATTAGTTGGCAATAGTTGGCATTATTTGGCATTAGTTGGCATTCGTTGGCAATTTTTTGCATTAATTTGGCAATGGTGTACAAAATTTTAGCCGCGGTTGCCCCCTCGTATATATATATCTCCGTATACCGAACGGCTCAAGTATAGCACGCTGTACCTTGCTACTCCCAAGTTAACGCCTTGGGAGTAGCAAGGTACAGTTTGCTATACTTGAGCCGTTCGGTATACAAGGAAGGTAATGTGGCTAGCACTACGCTTCAACCGCCTATTATTACCTCAGGATTGTGAATCCCAGTACTCTGGTTTTTTAATTTATTTAATCTGATTATATTCAGCACAACAATATTGATCAGCGCTAATTAACATGCTATATACGGGAGCTATTATTATTATAAAAAACCAGAGTCGAACTTGAAATTATTTTAAATAACAATTAAATAGTTTTTTATTGTTAAGGTATCCAAAACAAAAAAAAAGTATCAAGTATGCCATATCATTGTACTCAGGAGACCGAAATCTTTCAAAACTTCAAATAAAAAATGCAGGTCCGTATTTAATAAAATTAAGTTGGCCTCTGTATCTCACAAATTATAAGCTAATTTGAAAATTTAAAAATACCATCAGATAGCCCTAATAAAGTGGCTATGAGAATGTGCAATTAGTTTTTTCACTTTCTAAAACGTAACGACAGGAAAAAATAAAATTGATTTTCAAAAAAATCCGTTTTTTCCAAAAAACTCAGCAATCCGTGAAATTTTTAAAACTTTTTTGATGGCATCTTGGTGAACATGCCAAGGAGCAACTTTGCCCCAATTTAACCAACTTCGTATCTATTACGGTTTCTGAGATACCAATGCTCGTACCTCGAATTTGTAGCACCCTGTATAGTGAGGAAATAAATTCGTTTAGTATTTTATCGTGAGTTTAAATTAGTGGACCCACGGAATCCGTAACAATCTATGTCGTATGTCTATCTGATGTGAACTAAACAGGGCCGTAAAAATTCAACATAATCTAATATGTAATTCATATCAGGAGCGAAACTTAAATACTAGTAAAACGAGCATAGCAACTCAGCTGGAAAAAAAGCGAAAGTCGATGAACTTGAATTGGTAAATAAATTACGTTAGCGTTTGTATTCCGGTTGGCGTTTGTATGACATACTTTTTACTGTTTACGGGAACTGGATAAATAAATATGTGCTTAAAATTTCGGTGGTTAATGTGCTCAAGGAATGATATAAATACTTTACAATTTTAATAACAGAGTATGTTATATTTTAAATTATTTTAAGAAAAATAGTAATTTCGAGAAAAAAAATGTTTGATCTTATTTAATTTTAAACAAAATGTATTAAGATGCATCTATCATATTAAATCTGGGAAAGCTTAGGTAGCCAAACAAAGTAAAGGTTAAAAAACTTATCAATGCAATTTTTATGTAAAATATTAAACTGTTTTACATAAATTTTTGAAAGTCATAATTTCTTCTTGGAGTGGTATTGTCATTACAATATTACTAGTCGTTATCAAATAATATGTAATCTAAGGTTATTAAAAACATAATAAAATATAAATAATATGTAAATTCAATGATTAACAATAAAAATCAGTGTTAGTAGTAACAAGAGAAGTATATTTTACTTTCTAATTTCCATTTAGATGAAAGGTTGACTAAAAATGTTGCTCTTTTAAATATAACTACCAAAGATAAGCTGTTAAAAACATATCAATGAGTAACACTTTTTTCATAAAATTATGACATTTTAAATTGGCACTAATGTGTCTAAATATTTTTCTTCCCGTCATTCTATTTGGAAACAAATCAATATACCCTTTGCCTTTATACAACCTGTATATATATATATATATATATATATATATATATATATATATATATATATATATATATATATATATATATATATATATATATATATATATATATATATATATATATATATATATATATATATATATATATACTGTTTTTTTAATTTTCTTGGGATTTAGGTTCAGGAAAGCTCTGATTAAGTTTTCATTTGGGTTTTCATATTTTTTATTTCATTTTTAAGGGAAATAACCAAACGTTTCTGGCCAACATTACAGCCTTCACCAGTGTAGCTAGTGTCTATAACAAAATGCCAATTTCAAATTAACTTATCACAAAAATCTGTTTAATTTTTTTTTTTTTTTTTTTTTTTTTGGAGAAACACATTATTTATACAAATCACGAATACATAGTTAAAATTAAGAGTCAAGTAGTTTATGTATAAAAAACCTTAAGTAGCTAAGTGTGACAAAGTTTATGTAATAAACACAATAATTATTTACAAAAATTATTATTTTTTTTTCATACTTATTTACCCGCTATTGAAAGTTAAAAATAAAATCTTACAACACTCACCAAAATCAAAAAAACAGTGCCGAACATAATCCAAAAATTACATAGAACAAATTCACAAACACACACAGCATAATGTTTACTATAATTAATAAAACTAATATCAACTTGTCAGAGGATGGCTACATATTTTTTTTTAAATGATTATTCGTAAGACCAAAACGATCCACGTATGTATATTGACTACGGCTGAAATCGCACTAAACCTAATTTATATTTCATTGGCCAATAAACTGTAAAAACACTATTCTTTTTATGGTTTCCAAAATATTACTTCTTATATATACATGATTTTTTTATATAAAACAGGGAGAAAACAATAAACAAATTAATTTAACAAACTAAAATACACTTGATTCAAGTTTTTTATGTCAGTTCTATCATTCATAGATTCAGGTTCTTTTTTAATATAGATCATTTCCAAAAATTCTCTTTTATGCTTGTTGTATTCAGTGGCTAAAATTTTGGTCTCCTGATAATTCATTTTGTGATTTGTCGTGCTTTCATGTTTAGTCAGAGCAGTTTTATTTTTTTTGTCATACTTATGACCTTTTAACCGGTTTTCTAAATATTGTGCTGTTTGACCAATGTAGACGTTTGGGCAGTCTTGACAGGGAATTTGGTATACTATATGAGTTTTTTTATTAGTAGGTATTTTACTCTTTAGGCGACTAAAATGCTTTTTTAACGTGTTATATCCCTTGTGACATACGGAAATATTGCTTTTTTTGAGTAAATTTTGGAATCCCTCAGACACTGTTCTTATATAGGGGAGTGGTAGATATCCGTTGTCTTTTTTGTTTTTATTGCTACTAATATTTGAGTTTATTTGTTGTTGATTTTCTAATAGTTTTTTTTCCTAGATTTTATGATACCATTTATTAATTTTTCCGGATAGCTATTCTTCATTAAAACTTCTTTGATTTTTTTTAAGGCATTTAATCTGTATGGAGGATCACTAAGGATTAAAGCTCGGTCTGTCAAGCCAATAACCACAGATTTTTTTTGGGATATGTGATGTTGAGAGTGGAAATTTAAGTATCTGCCGGACCATGTATTTTTTGTATACCATTCTGTTAAAACTTTATTATCACTGTGATGTAATGTCATATCGAGAAAGTTGATTTTGTTATCTGTCTCTTTCTCGATAGTGAATTGTAGTTTATGGTTATAACTATTGAAGGACGTTAGTATAGAGTTGCATTTATCATTTGGTACTGCAGTAATAACGTCATCAACATACCGATAATAAAACGGAATAGAAAAATTAAGATTTGGTATTATTGAGTCTTCTAGATCTTCTAGAACCATTTGTGCAATAACGCTTGAGATTGGCGAGCCCATTGCACACCCTTCGATTTGTTTGTACACTTGTTGTTCGTACATAAAATAAGTGGAGGTAAGACATAATTCTACTGCTTGTTTAAAATCTTGTATAGGAATATCTGTAAATTCTTCAATTTCATTCCATCTTTTTTCGACAATATCTAGTGCCAATTTAATTGGTATATTTGTGTAGAGAGAAACGACGTCTAAAGATATTAATGTATAATTGCTCGGAAGTTGTACATCTTTAATTTTGTTTTTGAAATCCCATGAGTCTTTAATATATGAATTTGTAGTACCAGTTACTTTTTGAAGGATATCTTTTAAAAACTTGGACAGTTTATGTAGAGGTGACTGTACACAAGAAACAATTGGTCGCATAGGTATACCTGCTTTATGGAGTTTTGGTAGGCCATATATTTTTGGTGGCTGGGCATTTAATATTTTTAAAGCTTTAGCTGTATTAGGGGAAATGTAAGTTTTTTCCTCCCATTGCTTAATAATGTCGTTATTCTTTTTTTGTAGAACATTTGTAGGATCAGTATTAAGTTTCTTGTACGTATTTTCTTCATTTAACAGTAATTTCATTTTTTCGTCGTATTGCGTAGATGTCATAATGACTGTTTTATGTGATTTGTCCGGTCTTAAAATCTTTAGTTCTGGGTGGTGCTTTCCAAAAGTATATATATATATATATATATATATATATATATATATATATATATATATATATATATATATATATATATATATATATATATATATATATATATATATATATATATAATATATAATATATATATAATATATATATAAGAGTTTCTTGCCTTGAACTGCTAATATAGAAATTAATTACACGCTGTGTTCGACATAATGTGGATCAACCTGCTCTCACTACCAGTTTCAGGGCCCTACCCCATCATCAGGTGAGCTTGGGGATTTCCACAATATGCCGAGCACAGCGCAGAGTATATAAACACGACTTGTCGTAAAGTAGCGGTAAGATATTAAGTCCCGCATCGTGAGGCTTTTTTGGGCTAAGAAAAGCCGAAAAAAGCCTTTATTTACTATCGATAGTTGTGCCTCGGTGGTACGAAAGTACTACCATTGCACGCAGGCCGCTATCTCGCGATGCGGGATATATATATATATATATATATATATATATATATATATATATATATATATATATATATATATATATATATATATATATATATATATATATATATATATATATATATATATATATATATATATATATATATATATATATATTATATATATATATATATTATGACAATAAACATATTATTATATGTCCTATGTTCAAATTATTAATAATAATCATGATGAAATATCGCAATCTATAGTAACAATAATTTTAAACGTTTCTAAATCTAGAAGTCACTTTCTGAACTAAAATTAACGATTAATTAATAATATGAAGATTAATTAATAATAAGGAAATATAAAGAGATGGGTAGTCTACGCGACTGACTAGTTGAGAAAAATATTCAAACAGGTGTCTTGGGGATGCAGTCTAATAAGAAGGCCGTTAGTTCAAGGAAAAACCCTTTATTGTTTAGTCAAACTTTCGAACAACTGAATTCTCGAAAGCTTGACTAAACAATAAAGGGTTTTTCCTTGAACTAACAGCCTTTTTATTAGACATTAGACTGCATCCCCAAGACACTGTTTGAATATATATATATATATATATATATATATATATATATATATATATATATATATATATATATATATATATATATATATATATATATATATATATATATATATATATATATATATATATATATATATATATATATATATATATACAGGTTGTATATAAAGGCAAAGGGTATATTGATTTGTTTCCAAATAGAATGACGGGAAGAAAAATATTTAGACACATTAGTGCCAATTTAAAATGTCATAATTTTATGAAAAAGTGTTACTCATTGATATGTTTTTAACAGCTTATCTTTGGTAGTTATATTTAAAAGAGCAACATTTTTAGTCAACCTTTCATCTAAATGGAAATTAGAAAGTAAAATATACTTCTCTTGTTACTACTAACACTGATTTTTATTGTTAATCATTGAATTTACATATTATTTATATTTTATTATGTTTTTTAATAACCTTAGATTACATATTATTTGATAACGACTAGTAATATTGTAATGACAATACCACTCCAAGAAGAAATTATGACTTTCAAAAATTTATGTAAAACAGTTTAATATTTTACATAAAAATTGCATTGATAAGTTTTTTAACCTTTACTTTGTTTGGCTACCTAAGCTTTTTTTAAGATTGTTACGGATTCCGTGGTTCCACTAATTTAAACTCACGATAAAATACTAAACGAATTTATTTTCTCACTATACAGGGTGCTACAAATTCGAGGTACGAGCATTGGTATCTCAGAAACCGTAATAGATACGAAGTTGGTTAAATTGGGGCAAAGTTGCTCCTTGGCATGTTCACCAAGATGCCATCAAAAAAGTTTTAAAAATTTCAAGGATTGCTGAGTTTTTGGAAAAAACGGATTTTTTGAAAATCAATTTTATTTTCCTGTCGTTACGTTTTAGAAAGTGAAAAAAGCTAATTGCACATTCTCATAGCCACTTTATTAGGGCTATCTGATGGTATTTTAAATTTTCAAATTAGCTTATAAATTGTGAGATACAGAGGGCCAACTTAATTTTATTAAATACGGACCTGCATTTTTTATTTGAAGTTTTGAAAGATTTCGGTCTCCTGAGTACAATGATATGGCATACTTGATACTTTTTTTTTGTTTTGGATACCTTAACAATAAAAAACTATTTAATTGTTATTTAAAATAATTTCAAGTTCGACTCTGGTTTTTTATAATAATAATAGCTCCCGTATATAGCAAGTAACCCCCGCAAGTACTCCCGCAAATAACTCCCAAGTTAGCGCCTTGGGAGTAGCAAGGTACAGCTTGCTATACTTGAGCCGTTCGGTATACAAGGAAGGTAATGTGGCTAGCACTACGCTTCAACCGCCTATTATTACCTCAGGATTGTGAATTCCAGTACTCTGGTTTTTTAATTTATTTAATCTGATTATATTCAGCACAACAATATTGATCAGCGCTAATTAACATTGAATAAGGAAAATCACGTCGATTTAAAGATATCTAATATTTTTAACTTTTTTTATTGTGAATTTGAAATCCCAGTGTACGATCTATTAATATGCATAATATTAATCGTAGTTATTATAAATAAATCAACTTCTACAAACTAGTTTCTAATGCTCTGCATGTTCGAAAGGGGCTCTTTGAACAGATCTTCTTATAGTTCCGAATGCATTTTGTACTCTTTAATTATTTTTTTATTACTCGTTAATTGTCTTTGTACTCTTAATGTTGAAATGTATTGATTTCAAATGTCCAAAACAATTTTTGTTGATTTTCTTTATTCAATATTAATTAGCGCTAATCAATATTGTTGTTTGTTGTGCTGGATATAATCAGATTAAATAAATTAAAAAACCAGAGTCGGATTTGAAATTATTTTAAATAGCAATTAAAATGTTTTTTTATTGGTTTACCCAAAACAAAAAAAAGTCTCAAGTGTGGCATACCATTGTACTCAGGAGACCGAGTTCTTTCAAAATCTGAAATAAAAAATGCAGGTCCGTATTTAAAAAAATTAAGTTGGCCTCTGTATCTCACAAATTATAAGCTAATTTGAAAATCTAAAAATACCATCAGATATCTCCAATAAATTGGCTATCCGTTAGGCTAAATCCGTTTTTTCGAAAAAACTCAGCAATCTTTGAAATTTCCAAAACTGTTTTGATGGTATCTTGGTGAACATCCTAAAGCGCAACTTTGCCCCAATTTAACTATGCTCGTATCTATTAAGGTTACCGAGATATCAATGCTCGTACACCGAATATTTGTAGCACCCTGTATACTGCAATTTCTACGCCAACTTAATGTCATATTCGTACAATCACACAGGTATATCCAATATATCATTAATGTAGGTACAAAGAAACGTCCATATAAATATTAGAGTTTTCTAGAAAATTCTAGTTTTTCTGTTCAGCCGAGTGCACCCTCTAAAGAAATGTTTTAATAAAGAATGGTTTATTTCATAGTTTAGTATTAAAAAACGCAATTCAATTAATTACTTAGTTTATTCACAGTACATTATAAATTAATAATATATACTGAATTGAAGGCAGCTAAATTATTCATTTACAATGACGTCCGTCGCCGTCGTCTCGCTTTTATATTTGCCAACCAAACGTATCCTTAAAAAGGATCCACGCTATTAAAATATTTCGCAAATTTCATCACAATATAAACGTTAAAGCAATATTTAAAATAATCCCTTTAAAGTGCTCCTACAATATTGAAACGGCCCATGTTTTTAATTTAATTGAATAGGCGTTTCGAAAAACGTTTTAATATCAAAAGCATTTTGCGACAGCTCAAAAATGTTTAATATTAATGCTGTGGCATGCCGAAATGTTTGCCGTCGAAAATATTATGTAAAATGAAGCCCAAAGGAAGAATTGGATGAACAAAGTAGAATGAATTCGGATGTTTTCCAAGGGATTTTTTTGGTCGCTATTATTATTGTTACATTTTCTTTTAATCTTTAATAAGTGTAGACATGCCGGAGCACGTTCCTTTAATATATTTTCTATCCGATATTGAAAAGACTCTCTAGGGATATAATTCGGCATTTATACAGTTTGTTTTTCTTTGTTAATACATTATTAAGAGTTGTTATGTAAGTATCACATATCACATGCATACAAGAAATTATTCGAAACTCAGACATTTTATGCGTTTGTAAATTGCTGTTTTTTTAATTCAAGTGTGGATCTAATCACATTTTTTGTCTGAGTATAAAGGGTGTCCTAACATTTCGTGGACATAGAACTATTAGGTATATTTGGAATCAAAATAAGTCCATTTTACACACCCTCACACAAACACAATTTACCTCTATACAAAAGTGCTTCGTTTGTCTTGAAAACATAATCTATACTAATATATAAAATCCTTAAGTGACTGACATACTGATTAATCACGATCCTGCTCAAACCACTCAACGTAAGAAGCTCAATTTTGGCATACAGGTTGATTCTAGGGTGTAGAGGTTCGATAAGAAGGGATTTTTCGAAATTCCAGTTCCGAGAGGGTGAAACCACCCCTCGAATATTACAATATTTTTTATTTAAAAAACGGTCAAGTTTCCGAAAAAACACTTAAACACGTATATTTTATTTTGTTTTTTTACATATTTTAATGTATTTTTTAATGTATACAGGGTGTTTCGAAAAATCTGGTCATTGATTAATCACGATCCTGCTTAAAGCGCTTGACGTAAAAAGCTGATTTTTGGAAAACAGATTGACTTTAGGGTGTAGAGGTTCGATAAGAAGGGATTTTTCGAAACTCGAATTCTAAGGGGGTGAAACTATCCCTCAAATATTAAAAAAATTTTGATTCATAAACCGGTGAGTTTTTCGGAAAAACTCTTAAACACATTGTTAGCATCACCAGTCAACACTCGCGCTCCTGGTCGCTCGCATAATAGGGATCGCGAGTA